TTGACCAATCTGATAGCCTTCTCTGACGGGATGACTGGCTGGGTAGATGAGGGCAGAGCAGTGGATGTTGTCTACCCGGGCTTCAGCAAGGCTTTGGACACTGTCTCCCATCACATCCTCCTAGGTAAGCTCAGGAAGTGTGGGCTAGACAAGTGGACAGTGAGGTGGATTGAGAACTGGCTGGATGGCCGAGCTCAGAGGGTTGTGGTCAGTGGCACAGAGTCTAATTGGAGGCCTGTAGCTAGCGGTGCCCCCAGGGGTCAGTCCTGGGTCCAGTCTTGTTCAATGTATTCATTGATGACCAGGAGGAAGGCACAGAGTGCACCCTCAGCAAGTTAGCTGATGATACAAAACTGGGAGGAGCGGCTGACACACCAGAAGGCCATTCAGAGGGAGCGAGCTGGACAGGCTGGAGAATTGGGCAGAGAGGAATATCATGAAGGTCAACAAAGGCAAGTGCAGGGTCCTGCACCTGGGGAGGAATAACCCCATGCACCAGTACAGGCTGGGGGCTGACCTCCTGAAAAGCAGCTCTGCAGAGAAGGACCTGGGCGTCCTGGTGGACAACAAGGTAAAGCATGAGGCAGCAATGTGCCCTTGTGGCCAAGGAGGCCAATGGGATCCTGGGGTGCATTAGGCAGAGTGTTGCCAGCAGGTCGAGGGAGGTGATCTTCCCCCTCTACTCAGCCCTGGGGAGGCCTCACCTGGAGTACTGTGTCCAGTTCTGGGCTCCCCAGTACAAGAGAGACATGGCACTCCTGGAGAGAGTCCGGCAGAGGGCTACAAAGAGGATGAGGGGACTGGAGCATCTCTCCTCTGAAGAAAGGCCGAGAGAGCTGGGCCCCTCAGCCCAGCCTGGAGAAGAGAAGACTGAGAGGTGATCTCATCAATGTGTACAAGTATCTGAAGGGGGAGTGTCAAGAGGATGAGGCCAGTCTCTTCTCCGTGGTGCCCAGAGACAGGACAAGAGGCAACGGGCACAAACTGAACCACAGGCAGTTCCATCTGAACAGGAGGAAAAACTTACTTTCCTGTGAGGGTGACAGAGCATTGGAAGAGGTTGCCCAGAGAGGCTGTGGAGTCCCCTTCCCTGGAGATATTCAAAACCCACCTGGACGCGATCCTGGGAAACATGCTCTAGAGGACCCTGCTTGAGCAGGGAGGTTGGACTAGATGATCTCCAGAGGTCCCTTCCAACCTCAACCGTTCTGTGATTCTGTGATTCTGTGATTCTGTGACTGGCCTGTTCGCATATGACATATCCATACATGGCAGCAGACAAGCTTCGTTAAACCTATAAAAAAAGCTGTCTCATATAAGAGCTATACTTTTACTACAATGCCTCAAAGCCCAGACTGCAGATTGGCACCTGCTAAATTACTCACTGGCAGGACTTTACCCTACAATTTACCAAATCTCTGTCCAACTCAGCAGAAAGATGATGAATATCTTCCTCAACCACTCAAAAGAAAATGTTTCATATGGGAGGATGTACAGAAACTTAACCTTTAGCCAAACCATTTTCATAATTTTTAAGCACCTACCCTTTGACATGTTGGTTAAAGCTCTGCTTTGTTGGCCATCCCCATGAGAAAAAGACAGTTTTCATGAGGATCCCATATCAGATCACGGAAAGGCTGGGGCAGTGAGTCTAGCCATCATTCAGCTCTTGAGTTAAAGAAGAGGAAAAAAATCAAACTGAACAGTATCCAAAAATAAGCAATACAGGTAATAAGTGAATAACTATTGATACTCCATGCCAAAAACCAGTCAAATTATGATTGCTGAACTAGACTTACATGCTTTAATTGGTACGTGTGTTAACAAGTAGTATATTTTTATAGTTCCTGCCTTTAAAAATAAATACATCACTTGTTAACAGAGACAAAAATACTAACCACATAAAAAGCATGATTCAGTAAACAAAAATATCCCATCGCCAACAAGTAAAGTGAATTCCTGAAACTTTTTCTTAAATAAGGCATTTTATATATGCATACACACCCACACCCACACACACCCACACACCCCTTTAATAAAGGCATGAAGACACTAAGTAGAAAGCAACAAGTGTTCTGTATATTTGGTTTTGTGGGATTTGTTTATGTTACACTGTTACGCAATACAATTTCTCAACACAAATGTAGTTAGCATCATACAGCTCTACAATGCACAACTACCAAATCACAAGCCTTTTCATACGAAGCCCTTCACCAAAAAGCTAGCGATTGTGAGTGCTTAGCAGCCGGGATTTTTGTTAGAAGTGAAACCACACTGAAACGAGGAAACCCACATTCCAGCCACTCCTAAAAATGTGAAGCGTGCACAATCTCCCACACTGCTGGGCTAACCTGCCATAGCGCTGGGCTGCTGACATGACCTTAATGCCCGCTTGTTCAAGTCTTCTTAACTTTCTGAGTTCTTCTGCATCTTTCCCTTTGGATGTTGATGTTCCTTTAGCACTACATGAAGGAGATTGGCCTACGGAGTTTCCTTTGGTTTGATTGAAACCTACTTGACTTTTAGCGGGGCTTGTCTCAGAAGCCATGGAGCCCACTTTCTCCTTTACACGTGGTCCCAATGTTTCAATCTGTTCTTCTTCTATGGTTTCAGGGTGGGTTTTGCTATTGAATTATACAAGGTAGTTTAATGTACATTGTGCCTGATAAATATATATTTATTTTAAGCACATTTTGTTGATATCACAACTTCAAAGGATATTTTGATGAACGACCCAGGAGGATAACATCAGTTGACACAACCAGCATGCAGAAACATACAGCTGCTGCTCTGTGAACAGTACTGGTGTATAGCATACAATACACAAATAAATTAATTTTAAAAATATAGCAAAAATATTACCAGTTTTGATAAAATACATCAAATGTTACTTATAAGAATCATTTGGCAGTGAATAACTCTTGAGAACTTATTCAAATCACCTAGAAAAACAGTTTTGTTGAGTCTCAGTTTTGAGTCAACATCCATCGTATTTATATTAATCAACATCTTGTCAAATATAAATTATGCATATACGCACTGCGTTGTGTGGTGAACAATAATGCCATCAAGACAATGATTTTCCACTCGTTATTGCTCTTCTACCATCTTCCCCCACTGCTGCAAACAATTTATCAGTACCATCTCAGCAAGAGATCTATTACAGCAGAAGGTGCTCCATACATCTTACGAGAAGAATGAAAATTAAGTAAGTGTTAAAAGTATCATCACTGAAGTATGGAGATGTTGGACAAGCCAGTCTTACCTGAAAGGTCTGTCTCCTAGCGGTGAAGTTGCAGTGCTCCAACTCTTTCGATAGTCTTCTCGTTCAGTTTTCTTTTTCCGAAGCGGAGCGGGTACATAGAAAGTCTGATTACTCTTGTTCGGGAGGTACTGGTTAAAAGGCACAGCTGATTTAGGTTCCCCATGTGAGGTCCGCCTTGCAGACATATCATCTTTTTTCACATCCGGCATTTTTCTGTGTGGCAGGTCAGTCTCAGAGTCACTTCCTCTCCCTAGGGAGGAAGGTGAAAAAAAATCCTTTCTTTTTCACTTCACTAAAACTTTTTTTTTTTAAATAAATCAGAGAAGACATCACCAAAAAAAAAAGGCATTTACAATGTGAGCATTAAAAAATGAAGCCAGTTATACCTGCATTTATATCTTAAAATCGGTCACTGAAGATAGCAGCTGTAACTACACAGATAGCAAACACAGTTTTTCCCTCCAACCTACTTTTTCTACCCTGGAAAAGTCAATTTTCAGTCACAGGTCATAATTCAAGACAGTCCAAAAAAATCACAATCAGATTAAACCAGCATACAAAACAGCTACAGATGCTTACCTGACTTATGCCCAAATGAGTCCAAGCTGTATGTATGGGTTTGCCTGACCTGATGCACACTCTTGAATCTAGACTTGCAAATCACATGCTGAAGTCAAAAAGGGCTGTACATTGCATATGTACAGGATGGCATGAATCTGTGGATGTTTCTACAGACATGTACTAAAGGCACTTTGAAGGCACACGGCATCAGCTTTGATCACCAAAATGGAAGAATATGCCTCAGCTGGTATCAATCAGAAGACTCAGACCATCTCTCTCCACTCTCAACTGGCTGTTAGGTCAATCATTCTAGTACAGTGCAAAAAAGAGATATTTGATCCTGAGATGGAAAAGGGCAAGGAGAGAGGGAAGGGATCTGCAGCATTTCGTGGTGAGATCAGTATGGCGAAGATTGAATATTTTTTGGCAAAGAAAAAGAAGCAAGGTGAGAGATAAAAATTAAGAGTTAATGGGAGATGAACAGAGCTGAGCGAATACTTCATTAATTTTGTTCAAATGAAATCAGCTTCCTGGTGTTTAACACCCTTTCAAAAAATCATATTCACAGAAACTTAAGCAAGACTTTTCCTGGAAGATACAACTCCCAAGTGGTAGGACAAATATCTTAAAGAACATTTGCAGTGGAATTAGCCTCAAACAGCCATGTTGGAAGCCACTTCATAGACATTCAGTAGATTCCCTGCGCCATCATAAGTCTTTAAGTAGTTGAAAAAGAACTTATATAAATAGTTCTCTTCCAACATCACCACAGGCCCTGGTTTGATGAGTGAAATGGTGCATATCCACCCAATTCTCCCATCAGCATTCAAACCTCCTCCCAACTTTGGGAGTGTTGGATCTCTCTGGCCCCTTGGCCTCCCTCACTAGATTTGCATATGCAACAGCTATTGCCCCCCCTGGGGATGGGGGGGGGGGAAGCCACCCAAGTTGTGTCCTCTCGGTAATTCACTGAGCTAGTGAATTACTAGCTAATTCACTGAGCTACCTAATGAACAACTGAGAACAATGAAGTCATAAAAATCACAAGTAGCTTGTGTATAATTCAAAGCGGGGGGAGGAAAAGAGGACTAAATATGTTAGGAATGTTATTTGCAAAGAGCTTTTGCAGCAGATTGAGTTATTCAATGTTTGCTTGGAAGGAGATGAAGAAGAGGGAAAGGGAACAGCAAGTAAGGACAAGACACAATAGAAATGAGTTAGCTGGACAAATTCACAGTATACTTTTTGCCAGTAATTTTTTGTTTGGCCAGTCTTGGTTAAGAGCAAATGATACATAGCATCATTAACGGAACCTTAGACTGTCTAAACAAAAAGTGGAGACAACCACAGAGTCATGAGTGTCTGAGGACAGCTGAGGTTTGAAGAAATGTGGTATCGTTAGGCTGAGCAGGGCCACTGAGGAGCTAAAAGAAAATGAAAAGATCTCTCCGTGTTGTTTGCTATTCCACTTGCTTCTGACTTTGTTCTGGTGTTTATTTTCATATCACATGAAAATTAGTCTTGAACTGGCAGACAGAAATGCTGGAGCAGATAACCACAGTGGCAGAAGAATTACTTATATGCCTACAAGCATGTCCAAGTTAAGTACTTCAAAGACAAACAGCTTATTTAACTATTCATATTTTACTCAGAAAATCATTTTCAGCTCAAATTTGAAAAAAAAAAAAAAAAAAAAAACCACTTTAAGCCAAAGCACTGAATGGGAGATGTAACCATGGCCTACATTTATAAAGTTAAATGTGTTTTTTGCCTTTCCATGTAGAGGAAGAAACAGTCAATTCCCACAGCGTAGCCAGTAAGGCTACAGACATGCACACAGCAGCGAGCGAAGGTGCCTACCTGAGTTCCTAAAGGAACCTATGCTCACCTGCCAGCCAAGCAAAGGATTTTATTTATTCCCGAGTACATTCGTGACTCTGAAGGCAGGTCAGACTGCAGTTCTACTGTGTTTTGAACAAGCTGTTCTTCCCTACAACTGTTTTTAGGTTTTTTTTGCCAAGTGACAGGACTCCAGTAGGACACCATGCCAGTTCCTGAACAGAGACGCTGACCACAGTCAGCTTAGTCAAGGTGGTATTACTTCTCGCTTATTAATGATAAAATCTTAACTAATCATCACTTTAGAATCACTTAAACAATCTCCAACCATTTATTTTTTTTTCTAGGAGTAGCAGGAGCCATAAACTTATTTCTCTAACATGTTCTTGGGTTTGTAAAGTTGCTATCTGAATGGAGAGAGACAGAAAGAAAGTAAAATCTTCTCCTGCATCCAGCTCTGCATATACAATATTTCTATCAAAGCCACATCCCGCTGAGCGAAACACTGGCCTGCTGGGGCTACGGAAAGAGGTTAGACAGAGAAGAGGTCAGCCAAGCTACACCTCAGCTGCAACTCTTGGAGGAGACAGCTGCGAAATTATTGCAGCAGCAGGCAAGGAAAGTGGGACATATTAGAAAGGGCCTGATGGACACATCATACACACGCACACAACATCTGCATGCACCCAGGGTCTGGATATTGTTAAAGTCTAATTTTTAAGAACAAACTTTGTATGTTTGCATCTTTTTTGTGTTTGTTATGGACTCAAACATGTGACAAGATAGTATGTCTCAGCTGTGGCAAAGAAGCCACCACAAAGCCTTACCGAAATCTGCTGATGCAGCAGGAGGTGATGGGAAGCAGCTATGGGACATGTGTAACTGGCTAGGCAGCAGCTCCAAATAGGTAGGGACACTGGATGCTCCCCGAGGACCCAGAACAGAGCAACGCTTCTTGATTAGGACATACGACGCGTACCTATTTGTCAGTGCTGAGCTTTTGTCTAGTTTGAGCAGGCAGAAAAGTGCTTCGTAACGTGGAGACTCCTCTCCTGCAGCTGTGTTCTGTTTAGTGTCTGGGGATACAGGATCTCACGGAACCAGTCCCAGTCTCTGGCTCCCGACAATCTATCTGCAAAAGCCTCAACTCAAAAACAGCAGAGCAGAACTTAGCCCTGCTTTCCCCAGAGCTCTTTAATAATACATCTCTGATACCAACTCTCTCTGCCAGCTTTTCAGTTTTAAGGCGCTCCCCATCACCTCAAGAGATCTCTTGTGTTCAGTTATGATAAGGACCAGTTCATTTCACACTGCCAAAGGCTGTGTGAACATCTAGTTCCTACCAAAAAGTCTTTCTGCCTTTTCTTTTTTATTAAATAAATAAAATTACTTCAGAGAAGTGATTCACATGTGCAATACAACTTCATCTGACAATGATGATGTTCAACTGACTCATCCATCCTCAGTAGAGGTAGTCTGAATCAAGGGGTTTTCTTGGTTCTGAACTGGAATCCAGCTCAAGACAGGTAACCTACGTGCATGCTCGGCATTTACTCCCTAGTGAGTACTTCCTCATCCAGTACCCTGTGTTTACAAGCCTCAGAAAGCCTCTGTGACTCAGACAGGAAAGGCAGAGAAGCAGCACCCCTTCTACAAGCCAAGAGCTGCATGTCCAGACTCTAAGGTGCTCAAAGACATCCACAGCTCTGGCACTAGGAGCTATCATGTTACCCAATTTTCTAAATACCATGAAAACACAAATATGGCAATTGGCAAGATGTTCTATATTAGACTCCAAAAGGCTGTCAAGTACCAGTCATATCCAAGATACTTCTATAATTCATTTAGCTGTCCAGGTTTTTCTTAGGCAGAATTTTATTCACTTTATTCAATTTTATTTATATCTCCCCGATCCCATGCTTTTCTTTCTTGCCCCAGCCTAGTTTATAAATTAAAATCTGTCTGCACAACATCCTCTTACACAGAAACCCAGAAAAGCATTCTCCCAATTGTAAAATTACACTGCTATGATGTAATTCATTTTCCAAAGCTACGCTATCCTAACTGAGATAGACTTCAAATAAGTTGCTCTCAAAGTCATCTCCACCTCAGTAAGCACAAATCAGCATTCACAGAGACGTTCTCCCGGTGGATTAGCACGATTTGGGGCTGTGCCCAGCTTCTGAACGGCACATTTGCTCCAGAAATGCTGCTTATATGTCAAAGTTATGTATGTGCCTCATTGTGACCGGCACTTACCATCACTGCTTCCTCTGAGCACTACATCTGGGGACGGTGTCTGCTGTGAGCGGGATCCGAATGAGTCCAGGCTGTCGAAGGAGTCATCCCTGCCGTGGCGAGGTGGGGAGAGAGAATCGCTGCGCTCAGAGTCCCAGCAGTCTATATAGCCGCTGTCACGAATGCTGCGCTTTGGGCTCTCAATATCCTCAGTTTCCTACACGGAAGTACAGGAGGCATCTCTTCAGAAAGAAGCCACTGACGTACCAACGAGACTCATTACACCTCAGACAACAAAGCATCTTCTAAAGCACTAAAAATCTCCTCCCCCAAAAAGTATTTCCTTGTTTTCTGCCCCTTTTTCCCTTCACAGCAGAAGTGCAAGCTTGCAGTAAAACCCAATTTTATGCTGATTAAGAGGAAACCATGCTCATTAGATTAGTACGATGATCTGAGAAAAAGTTGCAATAGGTAGGTTAATAAACTGATCAAAACTGAAAAAGACCTGAAACTTGACTTGTTGTCCATAGTCCATAGCACAGGCAAAGGCACTATAATTTTAACATCATGCCTGCATCAGGTTTAAGTCTGCTGCTTTCCAAAAGATTTTCTCCCCTCCCCTTGCCCATCTATTGTATCTGGCTGGGACACCAGCAGGCAGCATTTGTTGTTGCTGCTTCAGCTCGGCAAAATAATGAAGCAGTGTGCCCTAGCCTCCCTCTACCTTGAAGAGAAATTCCTGTTATGAAAGAGGGATGTCTTTCTGAAGCAATCAGCAATGAAAAATATGCAAAATGCTTTTCCTGATGCCTCAGAAGAATTCAGTTGTGCTCTTTACTCTTTGCCAGCTCCTGGCTCTGGGGGATATGAAAGCACTTGTAGCTGACCCACATGTTCAGAGCAGTGAGAACAATGGTTGTCTTTGACAGCCCTGTGATTATAAATTCTTTCCAGTGCAAGCAGCACATACTAAAACACTGAAACTCCAGCAGAGGGAAAGGTCAATAGAAGCCATCCTCACTCTTGCATTATAATAAATCCCTTGTTTTAGTGAGTGTCTTACCCTTAATTACAACAGCACAGGCTGAGAAAAACAAAAATAACTACTTTTACTCAAAGATAAATCTGTTTTTTCTCCCCCAACAGTAAGCAAAGTCAGAGATGTGGGTGCTATTATCAGACTGACATTTTGCAACCCAAACAGGTTGGAATGTGATTTTTTTTTTTTTAAACAGAAGCATTTGAATATTAATTCCTAATTAAAAAGCACCCCCTGGTTACAGCTAGCTGGAAGATAATGGCTAAGTCCAGCATAGCTCCTACTGTCCTTGACTGCTAAGGTCTTACCCATTACTAGCACTGCCAGTGGGCAGATCAATCAAGAGCATCACAGTACGCTATAGTGGGCAATCTCCCTAACAAAAGAGCTTTGCTGGAGAAGAAGAAATTGAGGGAGGAGAGGACTGTGATATCACACAAAAGCTTCCATGCTGGAGAAGAAGGAGGCTCGAAGGGAAAGGGAAAGATCAGACCCAAAGTCCTGCAGACTTTTCAGGAAGAAGGCTTAATTAGTGCCACTCACCATTACTCTGCCAAAATACCACAGCAAGGACAGCAGCAAAGGTTCCCTAAGGCCAAGCTAAATTGCGGTAATGGCAATAAGGAACCCCACTGTAAACTGAAATGAAAATATTTTCCAAAAGCAAGTAAAAAATATCTAACAATGTAGTAATTGAATCCTATGCGATTTCCTTCTCCATTC